AGGGAGGGAGGTATACGCCTCCTCCTCCTCCTCCTCCTCCTCCTCCTCCTCCTCCTCCTCCTCCTCCTCCCTCTCCTCCTCCTTCTCCTCCTCCTCCTCCTCCCTCTCCTCCTCCTCCTCCTCCTCCTCCTCCTCCTCCTCCTCCTCCTCCTCCTCCTCCTCCTCCTCCTCCTCCGCCTCCGCCTCCGCCTCCTCCTCCTCCTCCGCCTCCGAGGGAGCGAGGAGGAGAGGGCAGGAAGTAGCGACGAGGCGGTGAGAGGGCGGCAGAACTAGGAAGTCAAGCGAGGGCGAGGCGGAAAAACATGCCTCGGCTCTCCTCGAGCCCACTGCACCTCATACATCGGGCGCTGCTAAGCGCGGTGCGGTCCTGGCCCTAGGTGACATCAGGGCTGCTGGGGAAGCCCTAGCGACTGTCAGATATGGCCAGGCACAGCCCAAACGGGACCCCGAGAGATCATCCTGGGCTGGGATCGGATACTTTTCTGTTGTTGAATTGATTTTTCAAATTCAAGCAACCATATTACTGAAGCAACCAGTTTGACTTCAAAAAAGAAACCTCGTCTCTTAGAAGAACAAACATGTTGGAGATCCGCGCGGGTTTCTTTTGTCGGACCTGGACATCCCTCCCCCCGCGCTCGAAGCGCCCCCGGCGCGATGCCGCAGGCGGCGCCAAGGTGGAGGCCGCCTAGATGGAGTCGAAGCAAACGGGGTCGGAGGATCGCGCCGCATCGCCGATGCATCGCATGCATCGGCGACGCATCCGCGACGTCGGCGATGCATCGGCGATGCCAGCGCGCCAGAAATCCAATTCCACATCGAGCCGCATCGCCGATGCACCGGCGAGGCGGCGCGGTCTACCGACCCCACCTAATTCGACCCGATTCGGGCGGCCTAGGCAGGGGAGACCCAGCGTAGACTAAAGAAACTCACGAGACCTCCGGAAATGTCCGTGTACGGTAGGGTCGCGCGGCGTTGACGCGCTGGCGACGCCAGCGAAGGCGTTAAAGGTTGAATCCTGCGACGCGGAAGCACCGATGGGCACGGTTATGCCATTGGTCCCGACTGGATTCAGCCTTGAACAATCGAGGTCGCAATCGACTCGAGATTGAACGATCGACGGGGTGTTCAAGACCTTTGCGCGCGCCGGCGCCACACGGACCTGCCGTATGCATGCTCGTCGACGGGTTTTGACTTGAGCAGGGACCCACCGTCCCGGCATTCCTGTAGTCCTACCACGACATTTTCCTAGAACCCAGAGATATTCTGAGAGCAACAGCCATGTTCTTAGAACAGACAGCCGATGTGTTAATACAGAACAGGCTTCGCCAGACATGTTTGAGAACATTTCGTGGAAACCACAGAAGGTTCTTAGAACATTCCTTCGTGGGGCTGTACACCTTGCGAAATGCTTACGAAACCATGGGTCCAGAAATTCAGAGTCTCAGAACTTGAATAAAAAACCCAGCATTTCTACTACAATCTGAAGATTTCCATTGAAACGCTAAGAATCATCGAAACCCTGGCCGAACACGTAAGTTTTCTTAAGCATCGCCTAGGGTGTAGGCGAGCCAGGACGCCTCGCCGATGTGTTAAAACAGAACAGGCTTCGCCAGAAATGTTCGAAAAACATTTCGTGGAAACCACAAAAGGTTATGAAAACATTCCTTCGTGGGGCTATAGGCGAGCCAGGACGCCTCGCCACTGCTTGATTGACAAGAGGGGGGGTGTCCAAGAGGGGGGGGTGCAAATCATGACCGGCGGCATGTGCGCGGCCCAGCGGGGGGGCCAGGGACGTAATGAAATGAGAAGAGGCGCCATGAAATCTGGGGAAATATCATGGCCCCCGCCATGATGTCCACCCCCCCCTAGTCATCACCCCCCTCTTTTCCGCCCCCGACTCGCCACTGCTTGCTTGCCTGCCCGGGGCCCGCAGCTGGCCCCCTCGGAGGCCGAAAGGATGGCAGGCGGGCCCCGGCCGCCCCGATGTTTGCCCGCGGCGCCGGGCGGCGGGCCCTCGGGCCAGGAAGCCCGGGGCCTCCAGCAGAGGAGGCAGAAAACTCTACGGGAAGGGGGCCCAGGCACACACAAATTAATACATACACATCCCAGGATTCCCGATATTTTCTTATATGTTCTGGATGTTCGGGGCCAGGAAGCTCGGGGCCTCCAGCAGAGGAGGCAGAAAACTCTACGGGAAGGGAGCCCAGGCACACACAAATAAATACACACAGATCCCAGGATTCCCTATATTTTCTCATATGTTCTGGATGTTCGGGGCCAGGAAGCTCGGGGCCTCCAGCAGAGGAGGCAGAAAACTCTACGGGAAGGGAGCCCAGGCACACACACACACACATAAATACACACAGATCCCAGGATTCCCTATATTTTCTCATATGTTCTGGATGTTCGTCTCCAGCAGAGGAGGCAGAACTCTATGGGAAGGGGGCCCAGGGACACACACACAAATACATACACACAGATCCTAGGATTCCCGATCTTTTCTCATCTGTTCTGGATGTTCGTCTTCCCCACTACTTCCCACATGTTCCCACATTTTCCCCGGGGTCGACGATGAATTGTGTCCGTATGTTTTTCCCCCTCCTGATATAGACATGCACCGATTTTCTGGCCAGGCCCCTCCTGGGCCCGGGATCGGTGCATGCGCCTCCTGCCTTGGCCAGGAGGGCATGTGCACCGATCCTGGGCCCAGGATGGGCCTGGCCAGAACATCAGTGCATGTGCATGGTCCAGCGGCCGTCTGGGCCGGTTCGGGCGCCCCTGGAGCTCCCTCTGCGAGGAGCAGCTGCTGGAATGCATCCCGAGGCTGCACAACCGCTGGGAACCTACGACAACTTCCCGGTCCCTCTCGACCGACCCGACCTTGGTGCTGAATGCGGGGGGCGACAAAAAGGGGGGGGGGGAACTTACACCTTTCGCGCCCCTTCGATGCTCAGCACCAAAGCTGCACCTCTCGTGCCCCCAGTCTACCGCGCTCTCATGGCGCAACGCCCGAGCCCGCGCACCTCGGGCCGGGGGCACCCTTGGCAGCCCCCGATTCTGCGCTGCCTTGCAGCGGCGCCAAGTGCCCGCAGACCTGATCCGAAGCAACGCGCGCCCCTCAGCGTACCTCGGGCACCTTGCCGGTCTGCGGGTCGGTGCCCAGCAGGCGGCGGAAGAGGAGGATGTGCGGCTCCTGCGGGTGCGGAGGCCGCCCATATGAGCGGCGATCAGGAACTGGTCTTACGCGAGATGGCAAAGCGATCTTACGCCGCAGCTTATGCGGGCCGCCAGCGCGGCACGCTACTCTGGAAACGAGGGCGCTTCTACGCGACCTTACGCGGGAATCTTACGCGCCAATGTCGGTGAAGACGATCCCGTTTTTCTGCGTTTCTCAAATGAGGTCGGAGACGATGGGGCCGGAGGATCGCGCCGCTTCGCTGATGTATCGGCGACGTTGGCGTGAAGAAAATCGGGCTCCAGAACGAATCTCATCGCCGATGCATCGGCGATGCGGCCAGATCCTCCGACGGCATCTACAGCCAACCCGTATTTTAAGGATCCGCGGTAAGGATGCAAGGGCCTTGAGGGCCATGTCGACACCTTTCGCACGGGGCGCGGCCAGCGAAAGCGGCCGAGGATGGGCCAAAGGGGAAGGATGCAAGGGCAATCTTTGAAAGTTGCTCATCCTTTCTCTGCAGGTTGACTGTACTTCTTGGCCCCATTTGGAAGGCTTGGACTCCTGCGGGGAAGGAGCAGGGGAAACGCCGCAGACACCTGGAGCCTCGACAAAATCGAAGCGGTTGGTATGTTCCCACATTTGACCTCCCGGAACGGCTTCGGGCCGCGGACCCGCCAAAAAAAGATTCGGGATGAGAAAGACCGGCCCTGAGGAAGAGGTCGGGACTTCCAGACGCACACGCACCGGAAAATCAAAGCGCCCAGCGTCTGGGGGAGACGACGGAAGCACAAATCCACTCAGAATCGGTTCCCACGCAAGCTCTGCCTGGACCAGGATGACATAGTCCTCGGTCCACTGAGAGAAAGAACAGGTATGTATAAAGCCCGTTCATGGTTGTGCCAGGTTCCCAGGATCCACCACCGGAGTCCAGGTTGGGCAACTCCCCATACCCGAACGATTCCCGACGGCCCAGGTGTCCGAAATGGGCCCGAGGGCGAAACATCAGACATAGAGGGAAACAAAAAAAAGATAAGGAAGGAGAGAGAGAGAGAGACATATACATATATATATAGAGAGAGATAGACGACAAACAAAATAACCAAGCAAATAACTGGCCTCGGCGACGGCGACGAGGGGTATCAGCGGCCATGCTCATGCAGAAGGCGGCACAACGGTTGCGAAGGCGGTGCTTTCCTCGCCCTGGACTCCACAGGCAGACGTGAGCGCAGGGGCTCCGCAACCTCTTTTGATTTCATTTAAAGAGTCGTCCTTGTAGACGTCATCGTTCGACGTCCGCTTCCACCCCCTCCTGATCTTGCTCTTCCGCCTCCTCTTCCTCCTCCTCCTCCTCCTAATCCGCCTCGTCATCCTCCTCCTCAACAACATCGCTGTCCGCTTCCGTGGGGGACGCGTGAGAAATGGGAGGGGGTTGGGAGGGCGAAGAGGAGGCGAACGATGAGGACGAACACCGGGAGGAAGGAGAGAGGGAGAGAAAAAAAAGAGGGGAAAGAGAGGGAGAGGGAGAGGAGGGAGAGGAAGAGGGAACGAAAGTGAGAGGAGGGAGAGAGGGGATAGGGGAGAGAAGGAGGGTGAGGGGCCAGGGGCAAGCTGGGCGCGCTCGCGACACATCTGACATTCCACCCTTCCAACCCATCCCAACCCACCGCGCCGAATCTTTTCCAAGCCGCCGGCTTGGATGTCCCAGGACCTTGGCTCCCAAATGGCAGGTGGAGGATTCGACCCTCCGTCAGCTGCGCATGCGCGAACGGCGCTCTGTGTGCATCTGGATGGGGGGAAGAGGAGGATGCGGATGAGCAGGAGGAAGCGGATGAGAAACAGAGAAGCAGAGGCAAAAGCGGGAGCAAAAGGAGCACGAGGAACAGGAGGATCCGGGGAAGGCGGACATGAGGAACGAGGGGGGGAGGCAAGGACGAAGACATCGGGTCATAAACGTGGCCCAGGCTGGGGCGAGGGAACCATTCTGAACGACGGGGGCCAATCGTCGATTCTCACATGTGGCCAACTCTGCGGTGGAATACCGTGTTTGAATGACCGAGTGCGCTCTGTAATAAGTATGTGTGCTGTGTATATTTGAATACTCAGAGTGAGGGGGGCAAATGGTCATTAGCTGTCCCTGGATGCGTGGCTACGATGGGGTTTCGCGGTGCGGATAGTCGATGCCTTGCGTTGTTGTTGTTGCTGCTGTTGTTGTTGTTGCTGTTTCCTTGAACTCTCAATCACCATCCGATGTTTCAATTCAAGTGCTTATCCTGGGGCTCCCGACCTGAATTTACAAGGGAAAATGAGGTGTCACCAAACTGTGCCCTGGCCCCCGGTTTACAGCAATAACGGTTCCCGCCTGATACTTCCGCACAATGTATTCCCAAATTGCGCTCTCTCGCGGGACCTCCTCACAATGAATACAGGAATCGCGCTCTCGAATGGAACGTCCTCGCAATTTATTCAGACGCCGCGCCCCCGACACTAATGAATCACGCTCTCGTCGTGGATTTCCTTACGGCTTATTCGGGAATCGCGCTGTCGCTCGAGACTTCCTCGCGATTGCTACTACTCTCTCTCTCTCTCTCGTGCTCCTTCTTCCTCCTCCCTCCCACTTGTCCATTCCTTCCATCCGTCCTCCCTTCCCCTGCCTTAAGGGCTGCACGAAATACACGGTTCAGGTGAGAAAGATATACCCCTAAGGGGGTACGATCGAAGACGGAGAGGGCGGGAATCGAGGGTTTGGGATATACGTGTTGCGTGAGCAGATCAGAGCGATCAGTCTGAAAATGTGCGTTGTTGGTGTTATTGGTGTTGTTGGTGGTGTTATTGCTGTTGTTGCGGTTGTTCTTTTGTCGTCGACGTTGTGGTTGTTGTGGTTGTTGTTGTTGTTGTTGTTGTTGTTGTGTATTGGTGTTGATATTGCTGTTGATGTTGCTGTTGCTTGGGGTTGTTGGTGATGTTCGTGTGTAGTTGTTGAATTTCCACTTCCAAACAATATGTTTGATCCCCCTGGTGGTCATCGTATCCGCTAATCAAAGTTATCCTCCCAGAGCTCGCGCCGGTGTTGTTTCATGGAACGCCTGTGATAACCAAGCTGCGCCCCTGGCCCCCCGGTTTAAAACAACAGCGGCTTCCGCCTCACCCGTCCCCACAGTGTATTTCAGGTTCGCGCTCTCGCGCGGGCATCCCGCATAAGTTATCCAGGAGCCGCGCTCTCGCGTGCTACTTCCTCACAAATGGATTGTGGCGCCGTGCCCCCAAGACTCACAAATCACGATCTCGCTTAGAATTTCTGATCGTTTTATGTAGGAATCGCGCTAGCTTTCGAACTTCTTTCATGATGGGTTGACGCTTCAGCGACCCGCACGCTCGACCTGGCCGTCTGGGCCCGCCCGCCCGACCTGCCCGCTACGGCCCGCCCGCCCGACAAGCCAAGCTTGCCGCTTGCGCTGCTGCTCCTAACCCACCTCGTGCAAATTGCTTTCGTGCTCCATCCTTTCCAATCTTGTCTTGTCTCCTCACTCCCCCCCTTGTTTCCCCCTGTCTTAGGGGCTGCGCCAACGACGCGCTGCAGACAGGGAATATACATAAGCCCAAGAGGGGGTTACGATCGAAGACGAAGAAGGCGGGCACCGAGGGTTTAGGATATACGTGTTGGATGGCACGCGAGCAAAACAGACCGAACAATATTTAAATGATTGTTGGTGTTGCCGTCATCGTCCTCGCCCGCGACCCGCCCGCGGCCCTTCCGCGACCCACCCGCGCGATTCACCCCGCGACCCACCTGTGACCCACCCGCGACCCTCCCGCGACCCACCCGCGACCCACCCGCAACCCACCCGCGACACTCCCCGCGACCCACCCGCGACTCGCCCACGACCCACCCCCCGCGCCCGCCCCTTCACTCTTACCCGCAACTGCGGATGCTATATATATATATATATATATAATATATATATATATATATATATATATATATATATATATATACATGCGTGTTTATGCTAAGGCCGTTCCTGTGATATGACTTTCTTATTGCTTCCATAGAACGAAACTGATATTTTCAGTTGTCTTGCTTGTTCCCTGGAGCCCGTGACAATATCCGATTCATGGATATCCGTCCTGATCTCAATATGTTAGATCTGTGTTCTCCCCCGCTCGTAATGGATCGCAAGAGTGGTCTAACCATACGGCCCACGACAGGTTTTCCAAATTCATTCTGTGGCGGATTACAAGAAGCTGCCTTGCGTGGCCCATTACAGAGGGAGGTCTGCCGTGGCACATTACGGACGGATTCTAACCGAAACCGATCACAACATGAATTCTTATTGCCGTGCCAGGGAACGGCGGCTGCGCTGGCATTTGATGCGGTTTTGAAAATGGTGTAATAACGTGTAGCAGCGATAAGAGAGAGCGCGTTTCACGGGCGTTCGCCTTGGGAACATTCGGCGGCGCGTTTCGAAGCGGGGGGTGGGCGCCCCCCCCAACATTCGGCGCCGTCAATCAAAACCAGGGGGACTCTCCTTCCCCTACCCCCCCCCCCTCCCGACCCCCCCCCTTCCCAAGGGGAGGGGGGGTTAACCCCCCCCTTCGGCGCCGGCGCTGGCGCCGGCAGTTGTCAGAAACCATCAACGGCTGGCTGCGCTGGCGCGCTGTTGGACCACGGCTGCGGCTGAGGAGGGCCCTGGACGACCGCGAAGGCACCTCCTAAGATGCTGGCCAAGACGCCTTGGTCCAGGGCGCCGTCTATGGGGCCTGAATCCGCGCGTCTCCCGAACTGGCCGCCGCTGCCGCCGTCCCGTGGCGGTGCTGAAGCGCCCTGATGGCACCCCGCACGAAACTGAGATTCGCGCCCACAAATGCAACACCTCATGGTAAAGCCGCCGTACCCTCGGGGACTGCGGCGCCCGCTTTTCCCCGCGCCTGCAGAACGCCTGCCCTTGTTCTGCCCTTTCCACCAGAGAATACCTGATCTACCAGGGTGTCTGAGAGGCCATAAAAATGCAAGTTTCTGGGAGCCTTCGCCCTGGCCCTTACCCTCTGGAGAAGGTGCTGCTGCTTTCCTTGATGAAACTACGTGCGTTGCCGTCGGACGACGCACATGTCTGCGCCATGGGCACTTCGCCGACATCATCTGCCAAAACTACTGGGCATCTTCTATATGGGGAAGGCTGAGACCCTCGGAATGGAGCTCTGCAGCTTGGAAGTTGAGTCACTGACATATTCGCCATGGCCCGGGTTAGTGTCCGACGAGATTTCGCTAACGTAATCGGCCTCGTCCGCGGGCGTTCGTGCGGCAGCTGGGGCGCTCTGCGACGGGCTGGCGGCGCACGTCATGGCGCCTCAGGCGCCGGGGAACTCGGCGGCGCTGGCGTCCCAGGGGTCGAGGCCCTGAGGGTGCCTGGGGTCCGTTGTTTGTCGTTATTGCTGTCGTTGGCCATGTCCATGAAACCTCCGAACGATGGCGGCGAACAAACAGCGCTGGTGACGTTGTTTGGTGCATGCTCAACGAGCGGCCCACTGTCGATCTCAGGCTCCGCGGCTGGGTATCGATTGCCTTAGGGCTGGAACAGCGCCATGTCTTGACAGGCTGCGACACCGACCCCTCGGATGAGCAGCCAGCTGTAATCGTCCCGAGGCATCGCCGCTCCCCATTTGTGCGTAGCTCGGAATCGCAGCGTAAAGGACCGCGACAGCAGCGCATCGGTGGACTCGTTGCGGCGCCTCGAGAACTCGAAAAGCTCGCGGTCGGCCCGGAAGCGCGACTCCTTGCCCAGTGGGCCGCACTGCATGGCGAGGTTCGCGAAGAGGTGGGGCACGGCGTCCTCGTGCTGGCCGTTGACCGTGCCTCCCTCCGCCAAATCCGCGAAGTTCATGGAGCGCGTGAGCTCGCAAGCGGCTCCGCCAAGGTTGTGGATGATGGCGCCGCACTGCTGAGCGCTGTCCATGTCCGTGGCAAGCACGCTCCTCGCGAGCAGGTCCTGTATCCAATGGCGACATGGATACGCAGCTGACTCGCGTTCGGGTGACCATGCGGGCGGCTGGCGGGAAGTGATACTGCCACGACCGCCTCGATGAGCGCTGCGGAAGCGTCTTAGGGCTCAGGCCTGCGCAGGGACGAAGTCAATGTCGAAGCTGGGGGCAGTCGCAATAGTGCTGATATCCTTGGTCGAGGCCGGAGGTTGAGGGAATGGTGCATTCACGTTCAATGGTCGACTGGGATGGCCCGACGTACTCGCAAGGACGGCCAGCCCTGTCAAACACATCGCAAGGCAAGGTACTCGCCTTATGTCGGGCCTGTCCCCTACAGGGGGATTTTGGACAAGAAATGAAACATACCCAAACAATACTCAAAAGATGCCAAAAAATGCAAAAACAACATACAATTTGTAAACTATTTTTGAATATGTCCCCTGTAGAGGGACAGGCCCGACTTTGTACCAGCCCAGGCAGAAGCCTCGCTGTCGTGCCCAAGGCGAGGGCACGGCCGGTACCGTTGGGGTGCGATGGGCAGTGGGAAGCGGCGTGGCGTCCCTGCGGGCTGGCGTTCCCACGTCGCGTGCCCTGCACACGCAGGGGATCGAACTCTATACACCGACGCTTTTCCCGACCCTGCGCCGAAATTCGCACAAGAACGCGGATTCTGGTGTATACGGGATCCTGGTGTATACATGTTTCGTCGTCTCCCCGGGACATCGGGGAAAAAAGTACACAACCCACCACCCCAGCGTCGTCCCCGACCCTCAAGAAGTCCTGGGATTCAAGAAACATCCCGCCACTGGTAATGTATACATTCCAGTGCCCTGCATTATTTGCTCTTGCCCTCACATCGGGATCCTCGCAAAAACTCAAACGATGTTGTTTGTCTGTGGGCGTCTGGGGCGAATTACCCGTAGGCTGACAAAACAGCCGTAAGCACTGGCTCTTTCGCGAAGCGAAGGTGAGACCAATGGGGAAGTGAACAAGAATACGGATGTGCGTCAACATCGCACTCCAGACACGTTCCGTGGATCGCGAGCTGGGATCGCTCCTAGCTCCGGTGCTCACTAGAACTGCAGGGTTGGGGAGCTTGACGGGGAAAAAACATGGCGGCAATAAAATGTACAACTGCGGGCTTTCCAGCTCATCGGAACTGTTCGTGCGCGCCGGCGCTGAAGCCACAGGGCGGCAGAGCATCTTGTTTGAGTGGAGGAGCAAAGAGGAGGCAGGAATCGGGCGTTGGCAGAACTGGGTTTAGTGGGACCTGCTTTAGAAATGTGTCCTGGGGCACGCCCCCCCGCCCCGTTCCACTAACCGAAACTGCCGTCACCCGGAAAAAACGCCAACCACGGCAGACCTGGTTTAGTGACTCTGGCCAACATAGGGGCTCCGGGGCCCCACCACTAATTGGGTCCCCTTACCTGGGGTCCTGGCTATACCCGAAGGATGATAAGGGAGGGGTAGGAGGGAGGAGGGCGGTAAAAAGGAGGTGGATAGCGGCACGGAGGCAAATGCGACCTCGGCGGCAGGCAGGGCCGTCCGGGCGGTGGATCTCGTAGTGCGCCCAGCCCCTGCTCTGCTGCACTCCCAGCCCACGCCACTCGTCCTCGTCGGGCGGCTGGGCAGGGCGGTTCGGGCTGAGGGCCATCGGACCCGCTCCTCCTTCCTCCACCCTCCTCCCCCGCTCCTCTTTTCTCCGCCCTCCTCCCTCCTTCACCTTCCTCCTCCATCCCCATCCTCCTTCCTCCTCGGCCCTCCTCCTCCAAGTCCCTCCTCCTCCATCCTCCTACTCCTCCACCCTCCTGCGCCCCCGTGCTCGTCCTCCTTATCCTTCCTCCTCCATCCCCCTCCTTCCACATCTTCTTCTTCTTCCCCTCCTCCTCAGCCTGTTCATCCTCCTGCTCCTCCTCCTCCTCCTCCTCCTCCTCCTCCTCATATCCGCCGCGTCTCTTCCGATTGGTTACCCAATGCCTCCTCATCATCAGCATGATCATCCCCATCCTCCACTTCTTATCCGAAGCCTCGTGCCACGTACTCCGACGGCGAGGCGAACCCCCCCACCACCTCTCGATGCGCTACGGTGTTGCGGCCAAGGCCTGGGAAGTGCGACAACGGGAAGAGCCGAGCCAGGATCGCGCCAAAGGTGCAGGGGCCGGGGCCCCCCACCCCCCCAGCGCAACCCTGCAAAACAAGAATTGACCTGCACGACGCGAGAGGGCTGAACTCAAACGTTCTTCCTCGTTTTGCCTTCGCTTCGCCGTACATTCAAATCAAAACAACGAAAAACAAAACGGCCCACGAGATGGCCAAAACACCCTTGAGGTCCAGCCCTGCAACGCGAGGGCCGTCCGGTCATTGCGCAGCCAAGAGGGGGGGGCGCAAGTCATGGCCGGCGGCATGTGCGCGGCCCTGTGGGGGGGCCAGGGACACGCAGTGAAAGAAGACGAGGCGCCATGAAAGAATACGAGGAGATGTCATGGCCCACGCCATGATCACCCCCCCTGGTCATCACCCCCCTCTTTTAGGCGAACAAAAAGTGGCATAAACATAGGAAACCGTTGAGGTCCGCGCGGATTTCTCGGATCGGCGCTGGACCCCCCCTCCCTGGCGCGCGGAGCGCGCCAGGGGCGGCGCAGGAGGCTCCGCCGGGGGGAGGGCCAGCGCCGATCCGAGGAAATCCGCGCGGACCTCCGATGTTCTATGTTTATGCCACTTCTTGTTCCCCTAGTAGAGGAAAGAGAACTATGCACATACACCGATTCTTGCCAGGACCATCCTGAGCCCAGGATCGGTGCATACGCCCTCTTGCCTTGGCCAGGAAGGTATATGCACCGATCCTGGGTCAAGGATGGGCGTTGTCAGGATCGGTCCATGTGCATAGTTCTCTTCGCCCGACCTAGCTTCGCCGCCGCCGCAATCGCGGTCGAGTTCCTGCTGCGGTCGCTCGCCTGCGGGAGCGATCTGCGGTGGGGGGCGAGGTCGCCGTGCGCTCGCCCCCAGGGAGCCGCCGAGCGCGTGCGGCGCCCCCGGCCTTGCGGAAGGCCACCTGTATGCCCTGGCCACCTGTATGCCCTGGCCTACAGGAGGAATGCTCAACAAAAATCAACAAAAATAGTCTGGGGACGATGTTTCGAAGATTTTGGATCATCCTAAGGCCACCTGTACACCCTGCGAAATGCTTTAGAAATCATGGGTTAAGATATTCATAGTCTCGGAATCTGAATGAAGACCCAGAATGTCTGCTCAGATCTTGGGATTTACCTTGAAACATCAAGAATAATCGAGACTCTGGCCGAAAACTTTGGTTTTCTTACGTATCGCCTAGAGTGTATGCCCTGGCCTTGAGTCGGGCGCGTCCCTCTACAGGAGGAATGCTCAAACAAAAAATCAAAAAAATAGTCTGGGGACGATGTTTCGACGATTTTGGATGATCCTGGGGCATTTTTGGGGGTCGAAGATCCGCCTGTAGGGGGACACGCCCGACCTAACCCTGGCCCGGCGCAACCCAAAGCCAGGGCAGCAGCGGCTGGCAGGCCTATCCCTGCAAGGTGAAGCTTGATTCGTTGGCCCAGCTGGCGAACGGCGCGTGTCTGGGGCTAAGGAAAGGGGTGTGGTGTAAGGGGGTGTGGTGCCAATGCAGGATCTGGCGAGGTTATTTCTCGTGGATAGTATCGCCATTTCCACGGTTGGCAACACATCCCTTTATGCCACACCCATTTCCGACGTCCAGAGATCCTCCTGTAAAGGGGTAAGTACGCCCCGGTAGTGTGATCGCATTGCTGCGTTTCTAATCCGCGCGGGCGGGTCGCCAGAAGTCGCCTCAAAAGCACCCTAAGAGCGCCTCAGGAGCGCGGATTAATTAATGGGTTTCGTATCTCATGTTGGCCCCAAGGTGGTCCAGGATGGTCCAAGCTGGTCCAACGGACTTCTGGACGGCCCCAGATGGCCGAAGAACCTCGGAGGCTCTCGGACATTTCTGCGTGTTGGGCGTCCCTTCTAGCCTCTGCGGGCTTCAATAGCCTTCTCGGGCCACGCGGTGGTCCCAAGACGGCACCAAGAGAACCCTAAGACGACCCTTAGACCCCCCAAGAGAGCCTCGAAAGGACACCGGAAGAGTCCAAATGGAACCCAGGCCCTCCAAGAGCGCGGGCCAGACGGGCCCAGGCGTTCAGAAGGCCCAGGGATGGGCCCCAAGACGCCCCAAACTGTGCGATGGTGGCCTCAAGGCGGCCTAAGATAGCCCAAGACAGCCCAATCAACTATAAGGACACCACAATCGGGGGGAACAAAAGGAGGGCATAACAAAGGGCAGGGCAGAGAATCAGCTCGCGCAGCCGGTTTTCCCAGCGCCTCCTGGCGCCGGGAGGCGCCCGCGTATTGAGGAATGGGCCCGGCGGCGGGGCCGAAACCAGCTGCATGCAGCAGATTTCGTGACCCCCCCTTTCCCTTCTCCCCTTTCGTTCGGCCCGACACAGGAACTAGAACCACGCGCGCGCTTCGCGCGCGCTTAGGTTCTAGCTAGGAGGCGAGCTTGAGTCAACGAAAGTCGCAGGGAAGGGGGCAGGGGGAAGAAGGCCAGAGAGCGCTGAAGGATACAAATACTGGAACCCTCTTGTGATTTTGTGGGGGGCCTCGTCCGGCCGCTCGCTGGGAGTTTGACGTAGCTTCTCGGGAGCCTCTGAACCTGTCGGGGGCCTCCTGGAAGCAGGTTCGAAGCATTTTGGGGGCCGATTTGGGGCTTCTCGGGGCCTCCTTTGGGCCTCTTGGGGGTCTCCTGGGGCCTCTTGAGGGGCCTCCTTGGGGCCTCCTGGCGGCCTCTTGGGGCGGAAGGCTCGAGCTTGCGGTTCGTGGTCCCCCTCTGGGCCCCCTCTTGGGCCCGTCTTGGGGCCCTCTTGGGCCATCTTGGGCGCCTCTTGGGCCGTCTTGGGGCCCTCTTGGGCTGTCCTGGGGCCCTCTTGGAAGCTTCTTGGGCCGTCTTGGGGCGGTCTTGGGCGCCTCTTGGGTCGTCCTGTAACGTCGGAAAGCCCAAAAGCGACTTTGTGAAAAATGTACGTTTTACGAAGGGAATGGGCCAATTTTTGCGTCTAGGGGCCCTCTTGGGACGCATGTTGGAGGCTTCTTGGGGCGTCTTGGGGGCGTCCTTGGACGTCTGGAGGCCATCTTCAGCATCTTGGAGCCCTCTTGGAGGCCTCTTGGAAATTTCTTGGGCCGTCTTGGGCGCTTCTTGGGCCGTCTTGTCTGACCGGGGAGGCCTCTGGCAAGCCCCGACGAGCCTCCGGGGCCCCCGGGGCGCACATTTGTGGTCAAGGTCCCGGCCCCGGGACCCCGGACCCGGTGCGCCGTTATATGTATAGGCCGAGTATGCACCCCAAGTGGTCGAACATTCCGTTGTTCCTTGCTGTGCTCGGCCCTCTCGCCAATAGCGGGCACCGATAGACTTCTCCGGCCCCAGGGCGGCCATCAGTAGACGAGCGCGTTCCACCACTCGCAAAGTAACCACTCGTCGCAAATGGCCTGGATCCGCCGCAGGGGATCTACGAGAAATTACATCGAAGCAGACATGTGTTCTTCGGAAGTTTGCGAGTAGGCACTCTGCGAGTAGTGGAACTCGCTCGGTGAAACAGCGAGCCCCCCCCAGAGGGCCCAGAGGTCTCCCAAGAGTGCCCGGGGAAGACGCCAAACGAGCACCAAGAGGCCCCCAAAGCGGTCGAAGAGAGCAGGTGTGAATGGGCGCCGAAGCGTGACTTGGTCTCCAGGTCGGCCCCAAAGGCCCCACTATGGTACCAAGACGGCCACAGATGGCCAAAGCTGGCCAATGACAGCCAAGTTGACTGCAAAGATATTTCGAGCTGGCAGAAGATCCTCTCCTCGGATACTGCCAAGGAGCCATACTCACCGAAAAACACTAAGCAGTCTCGCCGTTAGAGGCTCTAATGGGCTTCGCTGGCCCCGAGGTGGTCCCGAAAGGGCTCCAGGACGGCCCCAAACGTCCAAAGAGGGCCCGAAGAGCTGGCAAAAGGGCCCAAGAGGACCTCAAGAGGACCCCAAGAGGGCCCAAGAGCGGGGACCGATGGACGGCAGGCCTCAGGATGTTCATGATATAGCCCCAGGCCAGCCCCAAGATGGCCCAAATTTAGCCTCACGCGGTCCAAGACAGCCCCCAATAGGCCCCAAGGAAAGCTAAAGACGCCACCAGGAAGCCCCCCGAAGCCTCCGAGAGACCCCAAACAATTCCCCAGAGTACTCCGACAGCCTACGAAGGAAACTTTGAACAGTTGTCTACTCGCGTTGTCTGGTTTCGATGCCGAAACTTGGATGGAAACGTTTTCCGTTGAGTGTTTCACTGGATCTACCCAGCGACTGCTTCTCCCCCACGCGAACTTCACACGACAGCTTTGGGAAACTACTACCACCAAACAAGTTCCCAATGCCCGCGAACACGCAAGCACATGGCAAGGAGGATACATCATAGGCCGGCGGAGGACGAGGAACTACTCAATTCGGCGGGCCCTCGCCGTTTTGAACATCGAGAGTAGATGATGAGGTGATGACGAGATAGAGATTGTACGAACTCACGACTTCATGCTAGGAGCGGGTTCACAAATTCCGCTGGTCACTTTTACAAATTCTCCGGGGACGCGTAAAGATACTAGCGATATGTGTTCTCAGGGACACGATGGCCTCCATTCGGCACACCGCTCACGCACTTCCTGCGCCCCCAGGCCTTTGAAACACGGAGTGGTACTGGGGACTCGCAGCTCAACTATCCTGGAAGTCTCAATTCAGCACGCTCCTCACGGACTTCGTGCATCATGGGAGCTCAGCTCGCAATCCCAAGACGGCCCTTGGGGCCCCAATTCAGCCAATCCCTCTTGCATTCCTTGCTCCGCTGGCTCTCCAGACGGCTGCAGGGAGCTTCAAATTGTCGCAGCGCTCACGCACGGCGTGCCACACGGACCCTCTGAAGCCATCGGCTAGCTCTCCAAGACGGCTCCCGTGGGCTGCCATCCGGCGCACCCCTCACGCACTTCGCGGGCCCCCGAAAAGCCAGGAGCCAGCTCCCAAGTCCGCACGAGCCCACAAAAGGACGCAACACCGCCTCAAAGAAGACGCATTGCGACGATCGGTGCCGCCCCCTCCGTGGAAGTCTTCCCCGCGAACGCCCACTGATTACGAAACAGGCGTGCTCGGTTCCCCTTGGGGGCACGCGGTGACTCCCGCCCTGAAGTCTCAATACGTCGACCGCGTCTGGCAAGGTTGGGCGGACAACGGTGTTCGGTGGGAGATAAGATACAACCGCCTGGTGAGGCCATCTCTGCTGTGAAAGAAGACGCTGGCGCCCGGGAAAAGGCTCCATGGAATGCAACCAAGCGGACGACCCTCCCTTATGACGAGAGCCTCGATAGCCCACGATGCGGTTGTGCAGGGGTCGCGGCGCGTGCCGCCATCTGAATGGCACGTGCAATTGGCAAAGTCCGCCGTTTCACCCTTGTCGTTCTCCTCTCTTCCCTCTGCCTTTCCACCTCTTTCCCCTCCTGTTCCTCTTCTCCTCTTCCTCTTCTTGCGCCTCCTGCTCCTCTGTCCTCAATACCGTCGTTATCGCCCCTCTCCTCCTCCCTTTCTCGCTTTCTTCCCCTCTCCGTTTCCTGTCCGTCTTGCTTGCTATCCTCGTCCTCCTCCTATTCCTCATCTTGGAATGTTCCTCATGATCCTCCTCTTCCTCGTGGTTGCCCCCGTGCTCGCCCGCCTACTCTTCATGTCCCCCCACCTTCTTTGACGCATTACTACCCTGATGATAATCACCTCCCTCCCCTTCTCCTTTAAACGCGCTGATGGTATCTTTTGAATCCACATTGGCATTAGAACCATCATCATAACCATCCCGATCCCATCGTAATCATCACCCTGCCCCCCCCTCTTTTCGAAGCGCGATAATCGTAAAGTGAACGAGGCGTGACCTCAGCATGCAGCACGGTGCCTCGGAACCAACGGACCCCCCACACACCGCGAGTACTGACGCATTACACAGTTCCTGACAGTTTGTGGCGCCCAGTCGAGTCGACAGATCAAGGGCGGAGGGGAGGTCGGACGACGACGTCGACGATGTCGACGACGACGACGACGACGACGACGACGACGACGACGACGACGACGACCGTGCGTGCGAGAGGCCAAGGCCGGCGGGACGGAGCAGGTAGGCGGGAGAGGGCAGGGGCAGGACAGCAGGCAACGACCAGGGTCGACGGGGGCGACAGAAGAGGAGCAGGGAGAAAAGAATAACCGGAAGCAGCATCTTGCAGCCGGGCCAGGCCAAGGACCGGAAGAGACGGGCCGCCCACG